AAGAGTATGACAGGTCTAGCAAATCAGTTCATAGTGTGGAGTTGAGCAAAATGGATGAGCTTACAGCAAAGGTGAATCTGCTGTTGAGAGAGAACCAGAGATCTGTGCATTTTGCTGATGAGGTTGGTGATGCACCTCTTGCTCAAGAGTTTGTAGATGCAGAGAATAATGATCAGATGGAGGTAAATTTCGTGAATGGACAAGGGTATATGCAGAATCGCAGTTTCAACAACTTCAGAAGCCACCCGAATTTATCCTACAGAAGCAACAATGTTGAGAACCCTCAGGATCAGGTCTATCCGCAGCAAGGAGTGCAGAATCAGTCAGGATTTCAGAAGAACTTCTCCAGCAACTTCCAAGGAAAGCAGTTCATCACCAATCAGAATCGATTTCAAGGTGGAAATCAGCAGAAGTTGCCTTTCACAAGTCTACAGCCTTCTTCGAGTTCCTCAAATAACTCGCAGGATGAGCTGAAAAACTTGATGCAACAACTGCTGGTTAATCAGCAAAAGTCTTCCATGGAGATTAATGCCAAAGTGGACACCATGTACAATGATTTGAATGGCAAGTATGAGGCTGTGTGGACTCATGTGAAGAAGCTGGATGTTCAGGTAGCTCAGACTGCAGAAGCTGTGAAGAGATCACCTGGAACTCTCCCTGGAAAAGGTGAAAACCCCAGGAATGAGTTTGTGAATGCTATTGAGCTTAAAAGTGGGAAGACTCTACATGCTGCACCAACAAGCTCTGTCTCAAAAAAGACGAAGGAGCACTCTTCCTCCATCGGAGCACCCTCTCCAAAATCTGGAGCACCTGCTCCAGACGTAGATTTGACGAGGGAGCACCCTGAGCCAACGACGGAGCACCTGCTCCAGCCACCTGCTCCAGCAAACATTCCTGCAAGAGTTTACACGCCTAAGGTACCTTACCCAGTTCCACCAAAGAAGTCTCGCAAGGACTTAGAGGATGCAAAGTGCAGGGAGATGCTGAAGGATTTGACTGTAAAACTCCCTCTAGCTGATGCTGTTCAGATGATACCAGCCCTTAAAAGATACATGAAGGGGTTAGTGTCTGGGAAAGCTGTTGAGAAAGAGAGTGTCATGATGGTTTCGAAGGAGTGCAGTGCTGTGCTTCAGAACAAAGTGCTGAAGAAGAGAAGTGATCCAGGAAGGTTTGTTCTCTCAGTCAGGATTGGGAATGTATTGTTTGCAAGGTCTCTCTGCGATCTGGGTTCAAGTGTGAATCTGATGCCTTACTCTGTAGCCAAGCGATTGGGTTACACCAGATTCAAACTGACGAAAATCTCGCTGGTATTCGCTGATAGATCAACCAAATTCCCTGTTGGTATACTTGAGGATCTGCATGTTCAGATAGGTGATACACTCATTCCAGCAGATTTTGTGGTTCTGGAGCTTGATGAAGAACCCAAGGATCCTTTGATATTGGGTCGATCCTTCTTATGCACAGCTGGTGCAATCATAGATGTGAAAGAAGGAGTGATAGATCTCCAGCTGGGAGATATGGTGGTGCGATTTGAGATGAATAAACTCTTCAAGAAACCAATGCTGGACGGACAGACATTTGTCATAGATGATGGTTCAGGCATTGCTGAAGAGGTTGCTGAAGAGGTTTTGGCCATCAATCCTCTCGAAGTTGCACTCACCAAAGCTGAAGGAGAACATGGGTATTTGAGTGAAGAAGCTGATGGGTTTGCAAAAATGCTGAATGCAAGCACGAAGATGCAAAGGCAGGTGGCGTACATGAGCTTAGAAGGCAAGGAGAGCTCACCTGCAGAAATAGCCGACGGAGCACCTGCTCTGAATCCTGGAGCACCTGCTCCCGACGGTTTGATTGATGGACCTTGGAGCGAATTGAGAGCTCCGAAGCTTGAGCTCAAACCCCTTCCTGTGGGGCTCAGGTACGCGTTTCTAGGACCCAATTCGACATTCCCTGTGATAGTGAACTCTGAATTGAACAATGTAGAGATTGCCTTGCTTCTTTGTGAAATTAGAAAGTATAGGAAAGCTATAGGATATTCACTAGATGACATTCCAGGGATTTCTCCTGATCTTTGCATGCATAGAATACATCTAGAAGATGAATCAATGACTTCTGTAGAACATCAGAGGCGGTTAAACCCGAATCTACAAGATGTTGTAAAGAAAGAGATAATGAAACTTCTAGAAGCTGGTGTGATCTATGCAATTTCAGATAGTAATTGGGTTAGTCCGGTTCATGTAGTTCCTAAGAAAGGTGGCATCACTGTGATAAAAAATGATAGGAATGAATTGATACCAACTAGAACTGTTACTGGGCATCGAATGTGCATAGATTACAGGAAATTGAATGCTGCAACTCGCAAAGATCATTTTCCTTTACCATTTATCGATCAGATGCTTGAACGCTTGGCTAACCATCCTTATTACTGTTTCTTAGATGGTTACTCAGGTTTCTTTCAGATCCCAATCCACCCGGATGACCAGGAGAAGACGACATTCACATGTCCTTATGGCACTTTTGCATATCGCAGAATGCCATTTGGGTAGTGTAATGCTCCAGCAACATTCCAACGCTGCATGATGTCGATTTTCACTGACCTGATTGAAGACATAATGGAAGTTTTCATGGACGATTTTTCTGTCTATGGAAGCTCCTTTTTTGTCTGTTTGTCTAATCTGTGCAGGGTCTTGCAGCGGTGTGAGGAGAAGCATCTGGTGCTTAACTGGGAGAAATGCCATTTCATGGTAAGAGATGGGATCGTGCTGGGACACAAAATCTCAGAGAAAGGGATCGAGGTGGACAGGGTAAAGATCGAGGTGATGACGAGTCTGCAGCCACCAACATCAGTCAAGGGGGTTCGCAGTTTTCTGGGCCATGCAGGTTTTTACAGACGCTTCATCAAAGAATTCTCGAAGATTGCCAGGCCCCTGACGCAGCTGCTGTGCAAGGATGTGAAATTCGAGTTTGATGATGCATGTTTGGAGGCATTTCACAGGATAAAAGGAGCTTTGGTCAGCGCTCCTATTGTCCAGCCACAAGATTGGGAACTACCTTTTGAGGTCATGACCGATGCTAGCGATTATGCAGTGGGAGCAGTGCTGGGACAGAGGAAAGAAAAGAGGCTCCACGTCATTTATTATGCTAGCCGAACACTCGACGAGGCTCAGTGCAGATATGCCACAACTGAAAAGGAGCTTCTTGCAGTGGTTTATGCTTTTGAGAAGTTCAGGTCTTACCTTGTTGGGTCGAAAGTTGTTGTTCACACGGACCATGCAGCTCTGAAATACCTGTTGACGAAGAAGGACGCCAAGCCAAGGCTCCTTCGATGGATCCTTTTGCTGCAAGAGTTTGATTTGGAGATTAAAGATAAAAAAGGGATTGATAATGGTGTTGCAGACCACTTGTCGAGGCTGAAGATAGATGATGACATTCCACTAAATGACAGCCTTCCTGATGAACAAGTTTACGCCATAGAAGTTTCTGGGTTCGACGAGCACCTGCTCTCCACCGGAGCACCTGCTCTGACGAGTTTTTGCAACCAAGTTGACATAGATCGGCATTCTGGTTTCCCATGGTTTGGAGAGATTGCAAATTACCTTGCTGCAGAGCAGGAACCTGCAGGTTTTGTGGGAAACAAAAAGAAGAAGTTTCTAAAGGATGTAAGGCACTACTTTTGGGATGAGCCTTATTTATACAGGCATTGCTCTGATGGAATCTTCAGAAGATGTGTAGCTGACGAGGAGATACCAGGAGTGTTGTTTCATTGCCATGGATCCTCTTATGCAGGTCACTTCGCCACTTTCAAGACTGTGTCGAAAATTCTCCAATGACGATGTTCCGAGATGCAGCGAGTTTTATCTCCAGGTGTGACACATGTCAGAGACAAGGGAACATCAGCAGGAGGAATGAGATGCCTCAGAATTTCATCTTGGAAGTAGAGATTTTCGATGTGTGGGGTATAGACTTCATGGGACCTTTTCCACCATCTTATGGGAATGAGTATATTCTGGTGGCAGTTGACTATGTATCAAAGTGGGTGGAAGCTCTGGCTAGTCCCACAAATGACGCAAAGGTGGTTTTAAAGATGTTCAAATCTGTCATTTTTCCCAGGTTTGGTGTGCCGCGAGTGGTGATTAGCGATGGAGGCTCTCACTTCATTAACAAAGTCTTTAAAAAACTTGTTGAAGAAGAATGGTGTAAGGCATAAGGTGGCGACCCCATACCATCCTCAGACGAGTGGGCAAGTTGAGGTTTCCAACAGGGAGATCAAGAACATTCTGCAGAAGACTGTGAGCACCACAAGGAAGGATTGGGCAGTGAAGCTTGATGATGCTCTTTGGGCATACAGAACAGCTTACAAAACACCTTTGGGGACTACACCATTCCACTTGGTGTATGGAAAAGCATGTCATCTTCTAGTGGAACTTGAGTACAAAGCTGCTTGGGCAGTGAAGCTGCTGAATTTCGATGCAAAGAGTGCTCAGGAGAGGAGAGTAATGCAGTTGCATGAGCTGGAGGAAATTAGGCATCTGGCCTATGAAAACTCGAAGATTTACAAAGAGAGGACAAAAGCTTTCCATGACAGGAGAATCCTCAACAGAAGCTTTGCACCAAACGATCAGGTATTGCTCTTTAACTCTAGATTGAAATTGTTTCCAGGGAAGCTGAGATCAAGATGGTCTAGACCATTCACCATCAAGGAAGTTCGACCATATGGAGCTGTAGTGTTGCTGGACACTAAAGGAGGCGAGTTTGTTGTCAATGGACAGAGGTTGAAACCATACCTTACTGGTCCAAATATCGCAGAAGGTGAATCAGTCACCTTAAGCGATCCTCTTCAAGCCTAAATGGCTTTCCAAGTCAAGCTAATGACTTAAAACAAGCGCTTGGTGGGAGGCAAACCACCAGTCAGAGTCTCTAACTTTGTGTCTTTCAATTCTTAGCTACTAACTTTGTTTTTTTTTTAGGTTCTTTCTTTTCAAAAAAAAAAAAAAAAAAAAAAAAAAAAAACAAGATAAAGCAGGTAGAGAGGTTTTCAGCGATGGAGGTGAAAAGAAGAAGAAGGAGGGAGCAACCCACCGGAGCACCTGCTCCATCTGCTAGGTTGGTTGCTCACCACGTAGAATTTGACGAAAGAGCACCACAGCCCCCACCGGAGCACCTGCTCCAAGGGGTGCTCACCACGGACAATGCGACGAACGAGCACCCTGCTCTAGTTTGGAGCACCTGCTCTGCCAGGGTGTTTGGCGCTTCCAGGTAAGTTTTTTGGAAAATTGGAGTTTTAATGGGAACGCAGGGGCTAGTGTGCAAATTTTACCAAAAAATTTATTTTACACAGAATTTTACCCTACCTGAGTTTTCCTTGGTTTCTTAACTTGAGTTTTGCGACCCATAAACACCTCCTCCTTCCTCCTTTCTTTTTCACCATACTTGATACTTGAGCTCAAATCCCAGATTTTTCAAAACTTCACCGATTTCAACGTTTTTGAGTCTAAGTTCATCGGTTTTTCGTCCTCTCTCCGTTTCTGCAACCAATTTCGACACCCAGCAAAGGTATGACTCGCAATTCCCTTTTTAATATTTCGGCGAAATTTTAAAAAAGGTGCTTACTTCTATCTGTCTGTTGATTTCGACTTATGCGCATGTTGTTGAGGTTCTAGAGCAGCATCAGCTTACATCTATGTGATTATCCGTTCTACATACACACATGCAAAACTCTGCTCGAAAAATTAGGTTGGAGATTTTCTATGGGCTTAATTGTTTTCTTCTTCAATGTTGTTCCAGGAATGCCTCCCAGAACAATGTTCAAAAAGAAGGGAAAGAAGAAGAACGGTGAGGGAAGTAAACCTACCCCATCGACGTATCCATGGCCTCGCGAAGAAAACACACTGATCGAATTACCTGATGAGTTGATACCCGAACAATCGGACGAGCAGTGGGACCAAACGGACTCGTTCTATTACAACAAGCTGCTCAACATCAAACTGCAACCAACCTTAGTGATGTGCACAGACACACTAAAACGGTTGGGAATCTTCGATGAGGTGAGCATCATCCTGCGCAACACGAAGCTGACGCAACTCGCTTTCGAGGACGACGATCTCTACCCTGATCTGGTCCGCCAATGCCTCGCATCTGCAAAGTTGCGGTACGCAAATCCGACGAAGCCAAAGGCCGATGAAGCAACTTTCACTTTCTTTGCTGAAGGGAAGCGCTACAGCATCGACATGGCAACGTTTTGCACTGCTTACGGGTTTCATGACGAGGATAAAGAGCTGCGTTTCCCGAGTAAGTTCGAGGTTGCCAACCAATTTTGGCAAACCATCGCCTCCGGCCACTACAAGTCGAACACGGCAAGCATATCAGTCATTCGCCACCCAGCTGTTCGAATCTGTGCGAAAATTTTCAACAACATGCTGTTCAACCGTGATTCTGGGAATAAGGTAGCGCTGGATGTTTTGATGTTGCCTTACTTTGGTTGTGGTGATTTGGTTGCAGACTCTTACAGCGTCAGCGTCCCGGTCGAGCACAGTATCAACTTTGGAGTTCAGCTGGCGCAAACCATATGCGCAGTGAGGACCAAACCTTTTGGGAGTTCGCAGGTCATTTACATTGGGAGTCTCCTCACAGCGCTTTTCACTTTTGCTCATATTCCTCTTCGGTATGCTACAAAAGATGTGAGCCGAAGGAGAATGGATACAGCCCATCTGCTGACTTCAGGTTTTCTATGCGATGAGAACACCTACAGCTACAAAGGTGCTTACGGAGTTGCACAGCGCACGCCTCTCCCAAATCCTGCCATGACCGCACTAAACACTGCAGCTAACCTGCGTTTCCTGATGGAGGTGCCACTTTTAGCTGATGCAGCACACGACGGAGCACCCGCTCCGAATTCTGGAGCACCTGTTTCGAGTTCCGGAGCACCTGCTCGCGCCAGTTCTTCATGCTATCCACATTCACCGCAGAGAGATGAGGAGCTGCCTGACTACGTTTCAGCTGATGCTGGTGAGTTCGATTTGGCTCCTATCTCTGATGATCCTGATGATGCAGAGTTTCGGAGGTGGATGGTCGCGTCTACAAAGAAGAACAACAGCCTCATGAAGAGGTTGTTGCAGATGCTTACCAGTGGATATCGTAGCAGCACAGCGACCGCAGCCAGTTCTCCGGAGAGGCACCCGAGACGCAGACGTCGCACTGGTGGATCTGGTAGTGAGAGCCCGGAGGACACCACCACTCACTGACCGCTAGTAACATCTCTCTACCACCATTGTACTATCCGCTTTGGTTTCTTTTCTTTTATTTGTTTCGACAGGATTTTTCTCTGCTCCTATTTGTACACCAGGGACGGTGTATAATAAGTTCGGGGGAGGATCTTGTCATCTTTTGCATTTTCTTGTGTTTTTCTTGAGTCGGTTTTAGTTTGTTTCTTTGAGTCAGTTTGTTATATGAGTCAAGTCAAAGCTCGTGGGAATTAGGACCAATTCTATGATGATTTCAGACCATTTGTGAATCTTGACCACCTTCTTCTAGTGATTATTGCTGCAGAATCATCTAGATCGACTAATGGAAAATCCAAAGACAAAGCAGTAGATTAGAGGAGCCCAAAATTCTTGACACATCCAATGAACCTGAGCTAATTTTTGAGCCTTTCATTTTCCGCATCGATCAGGTTAGTGCTCATAGGGCTTGACTCCTCATTCTTACCTGACAAATAAAGACCTGTGTGATAGATTTGGTATTCCTCTCTTATGTTCTAAGCATTGTTTCAGGCTGTTTCTAAAAAAAAAAAAAAAAAAAAAAAATATGATCAAAAGGCAGAAAAGATTGAAATGATTTTCTTTTAGAAGTAAAGGGTTAGGAAAATTTCCAGGGATCCCATTATTTTACTTCTAAAGTGGAATGATCACACAAGGGATGGAAGCGAGGGGTAGGAAAATTTCCTGTGACCCCATTATTCGCCTACACCTTTGATATATGATGAGGGGACAAACCGGGGATTCGGTGGCAATCCACATCAATACTCGCGTCTTTGAACCTTGTTATATGTGCCAAAAAAAAAAAAAAAAAAAAAAACGAAACAGCTTGAAAAGTGAATAAGTTCGGTGGAGAGGAAAGGTACTTTTGTGTAGTATGGTCAATTTGTTGAGGTATAAGTATGGGAACGAGTCTAGAAGGTCCTTAGCACTGGTTTTATCGATGAGACTCAGCAATGATGGGACATGGATGATGTTATGAAATTGAGGGACTAATCTGGAAAGCTGCAGCGTCTACGGAGAAGTACATGGAGGTTAGATTTTTGATTGATTTTGCAGCAGATTGTCACATGCCTTGGTCAGGTTTACGGTCTTTTGAGTTTTGCGAGTTCCCAGCTTTATCCAGTCATTCTTTTGGAGTTGAATTTGAGTTTGTTTGAGGACAAACAAGGATTCAAGTTCGGGGGAGTTGATGAGTGGAGATTTTGACTCATTCTAACTTGTGTTTACTAATTGTTTTAGGAGTTTTTGGAGTCTTTTCAAGAAGTTTCAGGTGACTTGGAGGCCTTATCAAAGGATTGGAGTGTTTAGGAGGCATTGGAGCAAAAAGAGATGAATTTGAGCAATAAGGAGCTATTTCACACGTTTTTGGAGAAATCATCCCCGGAGCACCTGCTCCCGGTTTGGACCCTTCGTGGAGCACCTGCTCCAGACGGGAGAAAAATAAGGAAAACATCTTTACCTAATCTCAAGCCGCGTGAAAGGAATAAAAGGAGTCCAAGCCGCCTATCTTTACTACTACGCTTTCTTTTTACAATTTCCTGAACCATAGAGTTTTTACTTGTAAGCTTTTGGAAGAAGAAATCTGCTACACTTTGAGAAGAATTCTGAACCCTATTATCTCTTCTGCGATTTTAATTCATGAATTCCTTTCCATCTGTTTCTGTGTTTCTTTTCTCCATGTCTGAGTAGATCTCTTAGCTAGATTAAAGCGTTCAAAGGATTTCATGAGTTAAAGGATTAGATGCAAATAGGGCTTGATATCTATTGTCTTCACCATTGTTAGACTTAATGCTTAGGTTGAATTGATCACTCAATCTGCGATTTTAGGTTAATCTATTCATCAAAAGTGTAATAGGTTGCTAGAATAAACATTGGTGAGCGATTTGTCCTTAGCCAACGACAGTTGAAGTTAAGGCAAATCGTGAACAGATCAAACCTGCTAGCTAATGCTTGTCTGCAATTTTCTAAGTTCAAACGACAGTTTAGGATTTAGGTTGTTAGACAAAGTTATCGAGATCACGACAGTGGATCGATAAGCTTTTCTGTTTGAGTTCGACACTTGCGTTACACTTGTGCCCTGAACAGTCATCTGACTCTTATCTCTGAAATTCCTGCGAATTGCTTTGGTCTAGTGCTTGTTTTAATTTGAATTTAAATCGTTGTTTGCCATTCTGTTTACTTTTTAGTTTTCGAAACAAACCATCTTTCGTCTTAGCTTTAATTCAATCCTCACAAATTCATAGAGTAACACTGGTCCTCTGGATTTCGAATCCTTTATATTACATCTACATCACTGTTCTATTGCAGCACAAACTAGGAGTATATCTAGTGAGAATCAGTACATATGGATTCAATCCATTTAGCATGTCTCGTAATCATTCGTTATGGCCTGTGATCTTGACTCCTTATAATTTACCCCCTGGTATGTGCATGAAGACTGAGTACTTGTTCCTCACAATACTGAATTCTGGGCCAAATCATCCGCATGCTAGTCTCGATATCTTCCTCCGGCCTCTTGTCGAGGAATTAAAAGAATTATGGTCAACTGGGATCAATGCATACGATGTCTCTTTGCAGCAGAATTTCAAATTAAAGCCTGTGCTGATGTGGACGATAAGCGACTTTCCCGCGTATGGCATGTTGTCAGGATGGACGACCCATGGTAGATTGGCTTGTCCAATTTGTTTGGACGATACAAAGGCATTCTATCTGCCTAATGGAAGAAAGACGTGTTGGTTTGATTGTCATAGAAGGTTTCTCCCTCATGGTCATCCATTACGAAAGAATAGAAAAGACTTTTTGAAGGGTAGACAAGCTATAAATGAGTCACCACCAGAGTCTTTGACAAGTGAACAAGTTTATAGTGAGCGCATCGAAACTGTCAATCCTGCAAAAACGTCTGACTGCGGTGGCAGCGATCATGAAAAAAAGATGCCTGGATATGGGAAGTGGCATAACTGGCACAAAGAAAGTATATTTTGGGAGTTGCCTTACTGGAGGAACCTCAATCTCAATCTTGATGTGATGCATATAGAGAAGAATTTCTTTGATAACATCATGAATACTCTAATGAGCGTGACGGGTAAATAGAAAGACACTATAAAGTCAAGATTGGATATAGAAAGATTCTGTGATTGGGCACACTTGCATCTTGATAAAAATGGGCAAGCTCCTTTTCCGGTATACACATTGGAAGAAGCTGAAAAAAGAAGATTATTGGAATGTGTGAAAGCAGTACAATTCCCAGACGGTTATGCGTCAGACTTAGCTGCTTGTGTTGATATTGAAAAAGGAAAGCTTGCTGGCATGAAGAGTCATGACTGCCATGTTTTTATGGAACGGCTACTTCCATTTATCTTTGCAGAACTCTTGGACCGTACCGTCCACCTTGCATTATCAGGTACTTTATAGTCTATTTAATAGTACATGTAAAATTTCTGATTATAGTAATTTATTTATAATTGAACTTTAATATATTTAGGTGTTGGAGAATTCTTTCGTGACTTATGTTCAAGAACTTTGCAAAAAAACAGGGTCCAAATCCTAAAACAAAACATAGTCCTAATCTTATGCAATTTGGAGAAGATTTTTCCACCATCATTTTTCGACGTAATGGAGCACTTGCCTATACATCTTCCTTATGAAGCTGATTTAGGAGGTCCTGTGCAGTATAGGTGGATGTATCATTTTGAAAGGTTTTTCAAAAAACTGAAAGCAAAAGCGAAGAACAAAAGATATGCATCAGGATCGATTGTTGAATCATATATCAACGATGAAACTGCTTATTTTACGGAGCGCTACTTTTCCGATCATATACAAACAAAATCAAGGTAAACTCCAAATGGGTAATTCATATTTATAAGTCAATATTGGCAACAGGATAATTTCATATTAACATGTGTTTATATTTATTATGATGTAATGGGACAGGTTAACAAGATTTGACGAAGGTGAAGTCCCTGTATATGATGTCCCCGGAGTTCCTGATATATTTACTCACGTAGGTCGGCCAAGTGGGCAAATGCATGAAATATGGCTTTCAGAAAAAGATCACAAAATTGCACATGCATATATTTTTGCGAAATTGCGATTACTTTCAACCATTTGAGAGGTATATCGAATTTCATCCTTGTCAGATATATAATCTACAATCATTTCTTGTATAATATATGTTTGTGGTGGACAGGATGTTCGAAGATTACATTTGCACAAAATATCCACAACTCTCTGATAAAGAAATTTCTGCAAAAAGAGCGGATGAATATCCTTCATGGGTGAAAGATTACGTATGTTTTCTATATTTTAACTAACTATGGACGTTTTCCATCGACGGATTAATAATCAATCCATATTTACATGTGCAGGTTACTTACTGGAACACTACAAATCCTTTTCCTATTTGGGTTCAGGATTTAGTTCACGGACCGGTCAATAAAGCCAAAACCTGGCCGATTTACTTTACGAGAGGATATTTGTTTCATACACGGCACCATGACATGGGACGGAAGACATGTAACTTTGGAGTGTGTGTTAAAGGAGAAAACTACACCGATGCATCTGATGAAGCTGATTTTTACGGGATCTTAACTGATATCATACAACTCGAGTATGAGAGGATGACAAAACTGAAAATTACACTTTTCAAATGTGAGTGGTATGACCCTGTTATTGGTAGAGGCACTCGAAGGAGCAATGGTGGTCTCGTTGACATTCTTTCATCAAGAAAGTACAACAAATACGAACCATTTATTCTAGGTAAAAATGATATAAATATACAAATCAATACATTTAATGTATTTATTTTTTAAATTAGATTTGTATTGTACAGCCTCCCAAGAAGATCAAGTTTGTTATATTCCATATCCATACCGGAAAAAACCAAAGCAGCTGTGGCTAAACGTCTTAAAAGTGAATCCAAGAGGGAATATTTCAGGACAATATGAAGACAAAGAACGAACTCTCTTGCAACAAGATAATGATGATGGTGTTATGCTGACCACAATTGAAGATATCGTTGTTGAAAATCGAGTACACAGGATAAACCCAATAAATCTCGATTACGATGTCGGAGATGCAGAACCAGAAAATGAATTTAGGTGTAATTTGTCATCATCAGATGATGATGATGAAGATGAAGAGGATCCTTACTAATATGTGTCTGTTTATGAATAAAATTGCTGGAAGAAATTGTTCTATTGTAAGATAACTGTGTTGGTTTTTTTAAAAAAAAATTAGAAATTTTACGACTGATTTCCGACTCTATTACTACTAATGGCCCAAAATTTAACCCGCAAAATAAGCCCACCTCTAATCTCATTATCAGGCCCATTATTTAGACTAAGCCCATTAATATTTAGTCGTTTACACCTTAATCCCGGAAAATCCCCAAATCGATTCTCATAACCTAAACCCTAATTTCCCAGAAAATCCCCAATTTCGTTCTGATCTTCCCCAAACCCGAAACTATCGATCGATCTTCCCTAATTTCGACCGAAATGCACCGATAATCGATACTAGCCCATCCGTAATCGACCGATATTCCCTTAATCCTCCCGATAAACCCTGAATCGATCAGTTTCCTTCTCCGAAAAACCCATCCCGAAATTCCCGACGAGCATCGATCCCAAGCCTCTCCTGGATTCCGATGGGTGGCCGTGGAAGGAAGAAACGTGGAGGAGCACGAGGAGGAGCAGCCGTGACTCCCTTACCCAGTCGGTATGAGTTCCAGCGACATCTCCACCACCGCTAGTCCCGAGCAACGGGCCGACACATGTATGAGATTATCCACCGCCGATGGAGCTCTTCCAGAACTCGCAACAAGGAGCCCTTGAGTCTCAACCACCGCCTCAACCTAGAAGGTCAGAAAAATCTCAAACTCGGTTCTCTCCATCTCCTCAACACCGGTTCCAAGAGCAATCTCCCCGGCAGCATTCTGCATCACCTCAATCGCAGCACCAAGGAGCTTCTGGAGCTTCTTCTTTCTCTCAAAACCGAGCCTCTCCATTAACTCAAGAAGGAGGTAATTCTCCACACTCTCAACAAGCTCATTATGACGGTGAAGAAGCTGAATTTCAAGAACCTTCAGATGAAGAATACAGTGATGTCAACCTCTCTGAAGACCAGCTAAGGATTCTAAATGCCTTGCTCACGAAGCCTGGGAGAGAGGCTTATACTACGGTACTGTCTCCCATAGAGAAACCGGGTACAACGTGGTAAGTCTTTTTTACTCTAGCTTCATTTGTTTCATTCTTCAAATGATGGCTCGATGACTGCTTGCTTTGTTTTCTTTGTATCCAGGTTCGGTTGTGACAAGTCCTCTCTTACCCGGAAGATTACCAAGGTCTTCACCAACAAGTTTGATGGCCCTTTCTACAGTTGGAGTCGTGTGCCTCGTGATAGACAAGAGCGTTACTTCATAGAATTCGCGGTAAGATCATCCTTTTTCATTTACATGGTTTTGTTTTTGTTTTTGTAACTATGTCTTATTCTAACATCATCTATTTGTCTCTTGTTGTTGCAGGAAACCCACACCTGGGATCCCTTGATCACTGGTTGTGGTTCAAGAAAAATTTGAGAGCATTTGCAAAAGCCGGATGAAGGATATGGTCAGTAGCGTAAGGACATCAAGAGTGCAACCTAACTGCATTGAGGATACACTCTGGGAACAAATGACTGCCTATTGGGACACAGAAAAATCCAAAGATAAGAGTTCAACAACTTCAGCTGCTCGGTTGTCTGAACATGGTGGTCTTGGACCTCACGTTCACTTCTCAGGTCAGAAATCCTATCTGCAAATCCAGCAAGAAATGGTAACTTTCTATTCTGTTATTATTCAATAAGTGTTAGTTTTAGGAAATATGATTAATAACTTACCCGCTGACATATTTTGGTTTATAATTTCAGGAAGAGGAATTAGGTAGACCGGTGAGTCTTGGTGAGGTATTCATCAGGACTCACACAAAAAAGGATGGGAGTTATGTGGATGGAAAGGCAAAGAGAGTGGCTGAGACTTACCAGAAAAACTTGGAAGCCAAGTTTTCTGCCCTAAACCCTGAAAGCTCAGACAATCCTGAGGGTACAACACCTCGTCGAGAACTAAGTGTGGAAGAGCAGAACGACTTGTTTCTACAGGTAATGTTCTCTATTCTTATATGGATTTTTCTTGCTTGTCCTTTGATTCTAACATGGTTTTGGTTTAATGAATCATATGTCTGACTCTTTTTTTGTATTCGAAGTCGACTATTATGAGTGAAAGAGGTGTACCTTATGGAGTTGGTAGCCTCTCTCACTTGTACGTCAATGGGAAGAGGAAGTACCCAGGAAGCTCTGCATCCTACGGCACTCTGCAGGAACAGCTTCAACAAGCTCAACACCAAATAGAGCTCCAAGCGGCTGAGAATGCAAGGCGTGAAGCAGAGTTTGCCAAAGCTTCAGCTGCACAAGAAGCCAAGCTCGAGAAGCTCACCATGGTTGAAAGGTACTTGACTCAAACTGATCCACGGTTCAATGATTTTTTGGCTAGTCAAACTCCTCCATCGACCATTCCTGCTGCGAAGTCTACCACTCAACAACCTGCTGATCCGCCTGCTGCTCCGACAACATATGTAACTCAAACATCAAGTGCCACCTTAGATTAGTAGGTCTCTTCTCACTTTTTTTTAATGTCTCGGAACCTTAGGACTCTTTTTAATGTCTCGGAAACCTTAGAAGAGTATGTCTCTTCTCAATTTGAACTTCTCTATAATGGTTGTATATAGAAACCATTTGAGATTTTTTGGGTTTAAATGAATGTATTATGATGATGAATGTATTGGTTTTTGGCTTTTTAAATATTGATCATGGTTTTAGTATTCAAATGTGCCTTTTATAGCAATGTTTATAAACAGGTTTCAAAATTGGGGGTTTCTAAATAGCAAATTCATAATTGCAAAAACGATGATCAAAATAGTCACTAAACAGTCTTAAATTTGTCGGAAAAATGTCACAGATCAGTCACAATTCAGTAGTAAAAGTGCAACAAAGTACTTTTCATTTTTCGACAACAGTAGTGAAACAATCGCAAATAAGTAGGTAAATATGTCACGAAACAGTCGTCAAATGGTTGTTTATTTAACGTCTAAATAACGACTTATTATTTAACGACTAAATTGCTACTACTTTGATATTAAGAGTACGACTGTATTTTAGTCGTAAGAGTGTCGCAAATGTAGTCGTAAAATAGTCACTAAAGCTGCCAACGGAGTTACGACTAATTTACGTCAGTATATATCACACGCAATTTAGTCGTAAATTCGTCGCAAAATTACGACTACTTCACGATTGTGGTAATTAGCGACTAAGAATTAGCGACTACTTATTTTAGTCGCTAATTAGACGTAAATTACCGATTTACGACTATTTTCCGACGTTTTCTGCTGTCGCTAAATTCGTGTATTCTTGTGGAGCTCATCACATGTCTACTTGGTAATTATCAAGTATACTATATATATATATATATATTCCATTAGATTATCAGCCAATTAGATTTATATAGATTCAAATCCAAAATATTATTTAAGGTAACCATAAAACTGAAAGAAAGGAAAAGCAAACGTCATGAACTTTTTTTTACTATTTTTCTTCTTCATCCTCTTCTACATCATTTTTTAATAATCCGCCACTTAGATTTATATGGATTTCAAATATAAACCATTATCTATGATAGCTGTTATACCAATAGAATATAAAAACAAATGATCTGATTTCTTTTCTTCTGTCTATTCTTTTCCTTTTTTGTTCATCATCTTTGTGTGTTCGGCTTACTTATCTTATCCTCCAAATCATATCCCACCATATGTAGTTTTAATTTTGATAAAAGTTATAAATTATTTCAAATTAATGTCGTCGAAGATCTGGTGACTATGAAAGTACACAATATTACCACCTCGAAAGCATCATAAAACTCCCGACTTGTTGTCAAAGTTGTTAGATTTTATGTCTTCTGAGAAATTGTTTCTTTTGTTTTGTTTTTTTCTTGCTCTTGGATTAGCTTTAATAATTCCAAACATATTAAAAAGGAAAAAAATAGTTGTGTTTTAGTTATGATTGTGTTTTGGTTTAAATCGGAGTATACAATTCAAACCAGACAAAAGAATTTATTGGTTATTGGATCACTTATTTGGTTTAACTTCAGTTAGATAAATATTATGAGTCATGCATAAACATATTTTTTACTTCCGTTCTGTTGGATATTAATTATCCACGTTAATATGTTAAGTAACAAAGTTACTCTACCTACCACTTATAGTGTAGTCCATATATTTTACCAACCTCATTCTCTACTCTCTTGTATAAATAGATGTGTTGTACAGCAATCATATGAGAAGTGAGAAGAAACTTATTCTTTGCTCCCCCTATCGCTTTTCCTTCTTCCACTAAAGAAATATATAATATATATCCATACATATATATAAAGATACATAATCTTACCTATTTAATAAATATAAAGACAAATTTACAAGACGTTTATATAATATATATACATACACATATATAAATATACATAATCTAACCTATTTAATATAAATAAGGACAAATTTACAAGATATTATCAGCACGAGCGTCTTTCGATCCGTTTTTATACCAAAAGAGGTAAGATTTAAATCTATGTTTAATTTATTTCAAATTTATATATTATTTCGGGATGATAGGCTCTGCCTTCCCCGAACCATTGATTTAAATTTATGTTCAATTTATTTTCAAGTTTACGGGATGATAGATTATGCCTTCCCCGAACCGATCGTTATGATAGGCTATCCTTTCACGATCATATGATCATATGGTAGACTA